TGGGGGAATATATTTAAGAAGAAAAGATTATTGAGGTTTGAGTGATGGTTTTCTTTTCCCAACAATCATTCACACACATTCTGTTCCACAACACCAGTTATAATACACACAGTGTCTAACCGTCCATTCATTCCACAATGCCCTTCCCTTCACCCTTCCCAAGAAGGGTTCGTTGTCTAGCAATCAATTTTCTATTTCCCCCCTCCTTGGTAACCATCCTAGATTGATTCTCTCTGTAAGCCCTTTTCTAAACGTTTTGTAACAGTGGTCTTATAGAACAGAATTATAATGCAAAGGAATAAAGGTGAATAGGACAGACAATGCTAGAAAAAGTCTCTCAATATGTTGTCACAAGGAGGATACACACTGCAACCAAATAAGTGAAAGGTGAAGTGAGAGCCTGAAGCAGCATGCCTTACAAAGAGGATCAAGTAAGAGAAAGAAAATTAGGCTAAAGCATCTCTGGAAAGGAGAAAGAAATGCCAAGATAAACAGCATAATGAAGAACAAGAGGAAGAGGACACGGGAAGTCATAGAGAATCAGTGTGAAAAGGCTAATAAATCAGAAACAATAAAATTCTAGAAAATGGAACAGTTTTTCTAAGTCACAACTTTGACTATAGCTAAAGGGCATATCATGTTCCAGGGAAATTTGGCACAAAATAATCAATACTGAAATATATCTTAAATAACATGTACCATCAAGTCAGAACTAACTCATAGCTGACCTACTTGTGGCAATAAGCACAGGAAGAGATTGTCCATCTTTCTCCCAGAAAGAAGCTGGTAGATTTGAACTGCATGCCTGTTGGCTGGCAACACAGCTCCTTACAACATCATTTAAACAGTCTAGCAAAGATAATGCAATTTCTAAGAGTGGGGTGTGTATATACCGGCTTCAGATTGCCTCATAGAAGCATCGAGATGAGACGAGAATGAGGCTACAAAAGCCTCCAGCAATGAGTGTTAAAAATTTTTATAACCAGCCAAACGTGTCACCCAAGTATAAGAACAGTAAAATGGCAGGGAGGAAAAAACCCCAGTAATATCTAAGAAATAGGACAAATTGAAAATCCAGGATATATGAGTCCATTTTTTTAAAAAGTATGTATTATTTTAAAATATGTTTAAAATCTTCAGGGAAATGAAAACAAAATCAGAAAATTATGAAAATAGGTCAGGCATCTTCTGCCTCACTATAAATAGAACTGAAAATTGTGGGCAATGACATTTTTAAAAATTAAAGAGACAGGGAAGCATTGAAGATAAAGAATAAACCAGAATACAGCAGAAAGACACAGAAATTGAAAACTTAAGAGAAGTTTAGGTAAATAAAGAGCAGATAATGAAGAAAAGGAGGCAATGTTCAGAGAAATAAGGGCTGAAAAGTTTTCAAATGGAAGTAACAGATGGCTCTCATTGAAAACAGACCTGTGGGGGAAGACTGATCAATAACCTGTTAGGCAGGATGGCACAACTTTTCTTGTTGAAAGAGAGGAGGCTTGAAGCACTTGCTACAGAGAGTTAAACTCTGTAGCCTTTAATATGGATTGCATTTCAACATCAAAAAAACGAAAAAATCCTTGCCACTGGAGCATTAGTCAACACCATGGTAGATGGAGAAAAGATTGAGACTCAACAACTTCATCTTACTTGGACCCACAATCAATACACTTTGTACCAGGAGTCAGGAGATCAGGAGATGTATTGCACTCAGAAAGGCTGCAGTGAGGCATTTCTCCAAACTATTGAGGAGCAATGATGGTAGTTTGAGGATTAAGGTGCGCCTGATTCAGACCATGGTCTTTTCAGTCACTTGCTATGCATCGGAGAGCTGCACAATGAATAAGGATGATAGAAGAAGAATTGATGCCTTTGAACTGTGGTGTTGGAGAACAGCACTGAACATTTCATGGACTGCAGAAGAGCAAACAGTTATGTCTTGGAGAGGGTGCAGCCATAGCGCTCCTTGGAAGCAAGGATGATGTAGCTTTATCTCACATACTTTGGGCATGTCACTAGAAGAGGTTATCCCTTGCAGAGGGGCATCATAGATGGAAAGGTGGAAGGGTGGTGAAGGAGAGGAAGACCCTCAACCAGGTAGATTGACACAGTGAGTGCAGCAATGGGTTTGAGTGTGTCAGAGATGGTGAAGATGGCACAGGATAGGACAGGGTTCAGATCTGTTGTTCATAGGGTCATCATGATCCATATTCAATGGCACCTCAGGCAGCCAGGGTTGCCCTGGTGGCGTAATCTGTAATCCAAAGGCCATGCCTCTCAGGCAGTTCTCATGCACCAGCGACTCCTCAGGAGAAAGAAGAGCAATCTATTCCCATGTGGTTCACAGCCCCAGAAACTTAGTGGAGGGTCAGCTGGGATTTGGAACCATCTCCACAGCAATGAATTCATACGAGGTGACCAGTAACACCAGGGAGACACTTACATCCTTAGAATAACCAACCATATCAGGTCAAAGAGCAGCATTTGCCCCAGGATAAAGTCTGAAGGCAGAAAAGTGTAGGATAGGGGTCCTCAGTAAAGGAATTTCTGTTTCTGGCCTGTACCCATATCTAAACGCACAGGACAACAGTCTAAATCACTACGTTACCGTGTTACAGGATTTACAAGTTGCCTATGTGAGATAGCATTAGTCATCACCAGCTTAGAAAATAGAGGTATAAAGTGAGATGAGAACAAGCTCAAGTTGCTTTCAATGCTATTTAATTATGAAAACAATTCAGACAAGGGTTTTGATTATCCCATTTTCATTATTTTTTTAGATTGGAAAAACTGAGCAAAAAAAAAAAGAGGTGTTTGTCTAAGATTGAAGGGCTTATTTGTTTAGAGCAGAATTAGACTTTCTCTAACTCTGACTTAACTGGGGTTATTTCTGACTGGGTTTTGACACTGAAGGAAATGCATATGAAGTAGTCTGTAGTGTTTGCACATGCATCTGACTACATCTCAAGCACAATTCTCATTGTTCTCACAAACAAGGAAAAACCAGAAGAGGATACCAGTGCAGTAGAGACGACTGTAGCTTACCACTGGGCCAGGCCGTAAGTCGATGGATATGCCAACTTGGCCCATGCGGCTGGTACCGTGTCATAACTCAGTGCAGACTGCTGGGCTTCCATATCAGGAGACAACGTGAGCTCCCCCTAGTGTGGAGGAAAAGGCTGCACAGTGAACTCACATCTTCCAGTGGGATGAAGGTTGCTCTTGTGCCACAATCCAAACTTACCTTTAAACCAAGGTCTAATTGTTGAAGGGACCCACGGATTTCTTGAAGGAGAATATTCATCCTCTCACATTCTTGGAAGCAGACAAGAACATAAGGACTCCGGTCACAGGTTTTTTGCATTACCTCTACAATGTTGAATTCGTCTGGAAGTCTTTCTAAAATGTCATCCAAGATATTCTTAACCTTAAAACATTAAGACATAGATTTAGCTCCTTCTATTTAATATTTTTGCCATTCTTAAAATATATGGATATTTGTATAAACATTTTATACTCTATTATTTCCAGCTTTTTCACTTTTGTGCACCAAGAAAGATGAGTAGTACCTCATGGTAACCTGATAGAGGTTCCTTAGGAATTCGAACTTACTCAACAGCTGTGAGTTTGGGATGTACACACACACACACACACACACACACACACACACACACACACACACACGTTGTTGAGTTGTTAAATGCCACTGAGTTAGAATCAACTCCTGGCTGACCCTCCAGCAGGTGTTCAGAGGCTATAGATAGCATAGGAGGAGACTGCCCACCTTTCTCCCAAAGAACAACCGGTGAATTAAAAAAAACAAGCCAGGAGGCCAGCAGATATGCACATAAAAGTACATCTATCTATCTATCTATCTATCTATCTATCTATCTATCTATCATCTCCTCTTATATACACATATGAACACTGGTAGCCTACTGTTAAGGAATTTTGCTGTCAATCCAAAGGCACATGGTTCAAGTCCACCTGCTGCTCTATGAGAGGAAGATGGACAATCAACTTCTGTGCAATGAACAACTTATGAAAACCCACTGGAGTGTCAGTTATGGGTCTTTTCTGACTCAGCAGCACACAATAAACAACAACATACATATATAAAACTTTGAAATAAAATAGACTTGTACTAACATTGGGCAGCTCCCTTGGCTCATGCATATGTTCTGTAGTTGTACTGACTCACTTGCATCTTAGAGGTCAAAGAAATTGGCCCTACTGGATAGTCAATATCTGCACATTCTATGGGGTGAAGGGTTTGTTTCCCAGTAGGTGGGCAGAGTGGCACTGTCAGCAACTGCCTTCTTCATCAATGCCAGCAATCTCCCCTACTATTTATTCAGTTTATTCATAGTCATTCTTTAAGTAATATAATTACAATTCATTATATTTACTTGTATTTAAAGATCTGGTCAGAGGTCATGAAGCTCCAATACCTGTTGTTGTTGTTATGTGCCGTCGAGTCGCTGGCGACTCATAGTGACCCTATGTACAACAACCCTAAACTCTGCTCTGTCCTGTGCCAATCGCACTGC